GCAAACAGAAGGTGTTTTTAAAAGTACACACACATACACACACACACACACACACACACACCCAAGTTTTCTTCTTTCAGACAAAAGAGGCCTTTGTTTTACACCAGTAAAGTGCTAAGCAATGTAACAAACATAATACATGCCATGCCTCACGATATGCCCCTTGTGTACTGAGACATGTTTCATGTTAACTAAACTATGAAATGGAACCCTTCCAGTTTTCTTTGGTAATGTTTTAACCGCACACTGCATAATAAATGAAAAGGGATTGAATTAGGTCACTGTCTTGTTTGTTTCCTTAAGAAGGGACTGCTGATGATCCCTAGGCTGCAGATTTTATCTGCCAACGCTGCAAAATTGACGGAAGAAACATGATGGGTCTTTCCAAAAACAATGGTTCTCGTGCAAGTTCCTTCTTTCAGTTTGAAAATATCAGTCACTGATTTCAACAGACTCCTGGCCTTGGCCTCAGCTCTCCTTTTTAGGAACCATAAGGGTCTCTTATTCACAGCCTGTAGAATGCAGAGGGCCAGGTGGTCACCAGCAGGAACTGGCTGGGAAGAGAACTATATTGCTCATTTTTAGTCTCCCTGAAATGAGGAAAGTAGAGGTGTTTGGGATCACTCCTAGCACCTGTGGTCCCTGGCATTTATTCAAGCCTCCTGGCACCGCCACTGATCCACAGCCAGTTTTGACTCCTAAGTGGCACATTAAAGCAGCTACAAAATTCACTATTTCAGTAGCAGCCCTGGACACCAGTGCCTCAGACAATGGTCTTATTGAAGCAGCTCTCTGGAGCTCATGTGGAATGACCTGTTTGTCTGAACAAACCACACAGCCCTACTGGGCAGCTGCTACCTTGCTCTGGGGACATGGAGAGTTGTCACCCCACACTCTTGGCCTTTAGCTACAGGAAACTCCAATGATGTCTGTGACTCCCTGTGCCTTTGATGAGAGAACAATCTGACCTCTAGCATTGCCAGTACTCTGAGCAGAGCCTGAGGCCTCTATGAGGGAAAAGGGCATGAATAACAGCATTAATAACAAAGAAATAGAAAATCCTTTACCTTCCACTGAGAGGAAGCATGTCCCTTAAGTAACTGCTTGACATATCATCAGTGAGTCACCTCACCTCCCCAACCATCCATCACCCCCCACTTCACCCCAGACCTGTATGGCACTTGCTCTCAGGACAGGCTCTGAAACAGCCGATGTGAAAGAAGTGGTATGACAGGACCTCCCAGCTGTTGGTGGTAAATGTGATGGGGAGGAAACACATGGAGAACCAGAGGGAGGGGGAGAAAGGGGGGTGAGCATCCCCCAGTATTCACTGATAAACATGAGCACACTGACCAGAGGCCAAAGTCCTTCTGAGCGCTCCCTTTGAAGTGTCTCGCCCACTCCTGGATTTCCCGAGAACAGCCGTGAGACGTGGGAGCCTGTTGAAGAGCTCGTATTTCAAATACGTCTGCTGCTTATAGAAGCCATTTCCCATTTACTGTGTGTGGAGGACACAAAGGCCTGTGGCCTGTCACATCTCCATGGGGCTCATGGCCGGGCCAGTCACAGAGTCCTCAGGAAAGAAGGCAGAGGTCTTTGCATAAACTCTCGCCGTGTGACCAGCCTGGCACCTGGTACATCAGTTACTGAAACAGATCCTGGCCTTCTGGTGACTGGGGATGAAGTAACACTGAAAAAGGGGTTGAAACATAAAAAAATAAAGCCATACAATAATACTGGGCTGCAGAACCCCACAGAAGAGAACTCTCGGTTCAGACCTGCATCTCAGGAAAAGGGCAACAATTAAAGCAGCCACTGAGTACCTGCATACCTACTCAGATGGGCCAGTCATTAGCTCTGCCACTCAGCCTACAGACGGCAAAAGCCAGAACCACTGAGGTTAAGTTAAATTAAACAAACCATCTACATTTTTAAAGTGTAGTTCTATAGTAGAAATAACATTAGAATGCTTCAAGTTGGTATTATGACAAGGACCCACTTTAAGAGGGAAGCCATTTGTCATTCTAGAATCCTTAAGTTACAGAAATTTAATAGCTTTGTGACCTTTGGATTTTTTGTTCTTAACAAAACTTCAGTAGTTTAAAGTTTTGTCCAACTACCTCCACACCCTTCAGAATAAACTCTCCAGCATTGTATGATGGCTCAGATTTGCCATCAGGAACAGAAGTTAGCAATCCTGAGGGGCCCACCTTACCCCAGCGCACGCTTTCTGCAGTAAGGTCCCTTGGGAGGCTCACGTTTTTGAACGGGGCACCACTCTGGCCCCACCAGGATGATGGGCACACACACACCCTTCCATGGGCTGCCAATCCCCTTGCCTGTGTCCCTCTGTGGGATGTGCCGGCAAAGGGCGCCTGTGGATGGCTTCCCGGGACCCCCAGGAACCACCCTGCTGGGCTCCTCCCTGCTGCAGCCACTGTGTCCGGGGAGGCCCTGAACACGACTCCACCTTTCCCGATGCTCTCAGAGCTCCAGCCAGGGATGCCTACGTGTGCCCACCTCCAGGCTGTTGTCTCCTTACCCTCGTCTCCACAGTCCACCTCCCAGTGTCCTTCAAGGTCTAGCTCAAAATGCCGCCTCTGCCATAGAAGCTTACCCTTGAGCCTATTTCTCCCACTGTGTGGGGTCTGGTCTTTACCTGTGCCCCTTCAATGGCTTCATACTTTCTACAGTGCAGTGGATTTAACAGCACGTCTTTTCACCCTGACTGGACAGTCCACATACTCCTTGTGCTTCGAATCCTCACCACATCCCCACAGGGCTGCATACTCAAGACCTGCTCGGCAAGCGCCTACAGGAACCTCCCTGCGGGGAGGGCGGTAGGGGTGCCCAGGCCTCCCTGGGGCAAGCACTCAGACGGTGGCTCCCGTCCTTCCTGCTGAGGCTCTCTGAGGTCCCCACCTTCCTCCACTGCCCTCTGAGCAGGCAGAGCACGGCAACCTCATCCCTGAGAGACAGAACTCAGACCCTGGGCCCGGCTCCCAGGTGCAGGGGGATAAGGAACGCAGCCCACAGCTCCGACCTATCTGAGCAGGTTCCAGAAGCACAGGCAGCCCAGAAGGCCAGAAAGGGGGATGGGGGGAGGGAGTGTGCTGAGGAAACTTTTCTTAGCAAGTCACCTTCAGGTACACACAGCAGGAGGCCTGAAGGAGACAGGGAGGTCACCACAGTGACAACTAGGATAAAACATGAGGAGGATCAGGGCAAGACAAAAAGCCACTGTTGTATGTGAACTTCGGGCAGAGGTGACTTCGCAGTGGGGTCTGCCTTGGCCTCTGTCTCTTGCAATTCCAGGCTGGAATGCTGGACGCAGACCCAGGTGACTGAGCCAGGTGGGCCGGGCTGGCTGCCAGAACCCTCACCCTGGCTCTTATGAGCTGCTGAGAGAGGAGCACAGATGATGCGGTGGAACCAGGGTGCAGAGGCCAGAGGGTGCTGAGGAAAATCTCTGACCACCTGCCAGTGCCAGGGCAGCAACAAAAGGGAGATGCTCCGCTTGCCAATGGAGAGTGCCGCAGTTCTCAGCTCCGTGCAGCCCGCTGGGTGGCTCTCCTCCAGGCTCAGCACGCCCCCTTCATGGCACATCCCCAAGCTGGGGAAGCCCCCTGAGGGTAGGGGCCAAGTGGGCTCCCTACTCAATGTCATTTCCTTGTGCAGCATCTGGCGCATGCAGCAGGTGTGGAAGGAGGTCTCAGAGGGTAAAGCAGAGCTCAGTTCTTTGGTTTGAATTGAATTGTTCAAAAGGTAGTCCCTTTTGAACACAGTGTACAAAGGGCAAATCAGCTCTCTGTTCCTGGATTTCTAAAGGAGGGGACAGAGTGACCACACAAAATCTCTAAACCAAAATCAAAAGCTGTTTTCTTAGAGGGCTATCATTTTTATAGGGAAAAATTAGCCAGGAAAACATCAGCTGTGATTTTTGTCACTAGGATGTGTATGTAGGTGTGTTTGAATCCTCGGGCCAGCGATCTGTGCAGACACAGTGAGGATGCATCGCTCTGCTGACTATAGCAGTTTTAAAGCAGCTCATCATGGCGAGGTCAGACCAACTCGGTGGGAAATCAGGCCAATGGCAGAAAAGTGTGCCAGTAAGTCCTGGGCCACTTTCTTGCACACACATCAAATAGAACACAAAAAACAAAAACAACTGAAGTGATGGTTTCAACAGGCATTTATCTGCATTTGAGTCTGCTTTTCAGTAACTGGGTCAGAATTGAAACTTTCTTTTCTAAAAGAAAACCTTCCCTCACCAAAATATGGAATTCATCTGCACTGTAATCCCAAGTGGAGAGCAGGCTCATTTCCTCTTGATCTGTCTTTCACTTACTCCTACTCACTCTTGTTTCTCATGGACAATGAATGGAAACACTCCCCTGTACGAATTCCAACCGCCCTCTTTGAGACAGATGTTCTGGAAACCACTGACAAGCTGCCTTTCCCTGGGAGGCACATCACACACTCCCACAGCCATTCAGGTCCAAACTGTGCAGTTGTCCATGTCCAGCTCTAATATGACCCGTGAGATCTTACGTATCTGTTCAGAGCAGATCAGACAGATACCTATATTTTAACAACTTTTTCTCCATGTTCCCTTTCCCTAACACATTCCTCAACAGGCAGTCACCATATAAGGCCTATTTCAGCAAAGTAATTGTCATCTGCTACAGAATCAATAGTGGGATTTCTCAGGCATGTCTCTGTAAAAATCAAGTATGGTCAAATCCTTTCGTGCAAAGGTTTCTTTCAGGAAGTGTGAAGGAAAACGAACTTTTGTAAGCCAGCAGGGCACTCTTCATAAATTTCTGTGAGGCAAATGAGGCCCTTCTGGCTTGAAAGAGTTATTGCTCAGTACTTCCTAAGCACCCACATACGTTCATGTTTCTCCCTGAGGGCCTCACTTGCTCCATAGGACAATGCACTACAAGCTTTAATCTTGCTTAAAATTGCTGTGATGCATGGAGACAGGTCATTGTAGTCACCTGGATATGCTGTGAAATAACTTCTCAAGCAGTTCCAGCTTTTCCAAATGCACCTATGAAAACAAAACTCAATGCCATTAAGTTCACTCTTCAGGGGACCTACTTTGTTCTAACAGGGTCTACTGACTGGAGAGAAGTGTCAGCAGAACCCAACACACTCGCCCACATAAACGGGCTGTCAGCAAGAATAAGGAATAGGTTCACACTCATTTGGAAGGGCGTGAGAAGAGAGAGACCCGGCCTTTGCTAAGGCCATGGCACAGAGGATGGGTTATAGAAGCTACAGTACAATCTAAGAAAAACATACATGTTTAAAAACTTAAAACCTGTGCAAAGGATATCCCTGTCTGCCTTAGCAATAGGCGTCAAGAGTTCTCGTTCCCACTATGCCAGTACAACTTTGGAGTGACTGCCTGTGAGCCATGAAATCCAGGCAAAAACACATTTCCAGAGTTGCACAGGCTTGCTTATTACTAGTACACACTGTTAAAGTTAGACTATTGGCTATTTTCTCTACATTATCTTTTTCTATCAATGAAGATAACACTGAATACCAACTTTATATGGAGTAATCTTTGAGTGGGTGGACTGTGAAGTCATAATTATGACAAGATAGACATTTTTTCAACCTAGGTATCTTTAGGTACTCCACTTACCAAAACCATTAAGAGGAAATAATTACTCATACACACACACACAAATAAAAAAGGGGTTAACAAAAAGAGGCAACATAGAACATTTAAGGACATAAACTCTGGCTAAATGGACTGATTCCCCAGCTCAATCATTTTATCAGCTGTGTGACATTGGGCAAATTAACCCAAGCCTCAGTTGCCCCATGTGTGAAATGGAGATAATAGCACAGCCTACATTTCCTAGCATGTACCATCTATATGAGGCACAGTGCCGAGCAAATGAAAAGCTCTCATAAGTAGAAGCTTTTATCACGTGATTCTTACTAACCTCAACTTGAGGAAATGTTGGTACTTATGTAAGAACAACACAATCTGGCAGAGTCACCTGTGCATATGACCAGAATTGGCCTCCTGTTCTCATTGCCACTTAGAGGTCACAGTCTGCATGTTTTATTTATATTGACTAAGAGTTTCCTGATGACATAGAGTTACATAGAAACATCTATTTATTTAGTTCTTTGCTTTTTGCTCCTTCCAAATGTCTGTGGATTGATCTATGTGGATCCCAGAAATGTAATCGTTTGTTGCTTGGCTAAAGAGGCCTCTCTGCTTGTTTTTGCTAGAAGTCAGTCCTCCAAACCTGTGGTTTGCAAACTTTCTTTTTGAGCATGCACCACTACTTATCTACAGAATCTGACAAGCAATCCCAGTTGTGTATATGAAACAGATAAAAGCAGAGCTGCAATGATTAAAAAGAGATGACCAAGAGTCACCTTCCCCCACCCCAAAACCATCACCTCTAGATAGCCCCTAAAATGCCTCTAGGAACTAGCTCTCTGTGGAACACATTCAGAAAAACAGTCAATAAACTGCTCTTCCAGTTGTGATCTCACAGCCTATAAACCTCACATGACCTGAACTTGAGTCTGATTGGTGAACCTCTGCTTTTCATCTCCTAGCTTCATCAGTAACAACAAAGTCAGAGGCCCACAAAAGTACGGTCCCTTGCTTACTAAACATTCCTAACATGGCTGTGGTCTGTAGAGATACACAGACCCTTATTTTCTGATTTACTGACTGTACAGAGTTACATCAACCCTGCAAGAGATGCCCTAGGACCCCAGTGTTAACATCCCTATGCCACCCAGTACGTACGATATATGGTATCATTATTATTGGCTTCCAGAGGACCATGTTCCAGTTACAGTTTTTTGCACCCACCAAGTCACGATTAATCCAATCTAGCAGCTCAAAAGAATTTTCAGTGAAAATGCCATTTCATGGTAGAATATACACTCCTACCATACTTGTGAAGAACCAGCAGAGTCTCCACATACGGAAAATGTTACAGGGACAAAAAATTAGAAATTCAGAGTAGTGGAATCAGAATAGTGAAGCAGATGGACAAAGTCTTCACTTCAGAATGCACAGAGACGAGGAAGCAGGCCCTCCTCCTCCGTTTAATTGCTCGTTAAACATCTGTGTAGGGGAAGTATGACAAAGATTTAACTGTGGGGAGCAAGAGGTAAAGGGGGGCTTGTTCAGGGTGGTCTGAGGGAGACCAGCCAGGAGGGATGGGGTTGGAGCCAACCAACAAGAGATCCCAACCCATAGTGAGGAAAATATTTCCTCCACAGAAAAAGCTACTCCATCTCCCCAGGGAGTGGCTGGAAGACTCCCAGCCTGAGTCATTCGGAAACAGATTTTACCAAGCACTCCAGAGTGTCCCATGGGGAGGAGGCGGCTTCATGACCAAGCGGGTCTCTTCCAGCTCCAACTCCCATAATTCCCAGAACCTTCCACTTCTTTCCAAATCACTGTGGCTAGTGTGGCTGTAGCATGACTGTCACATCCTCCAGTCTGAGCATTTTAAGGCCTGGGTGTAGCTACTGACGTGGCTCTGCCAGAGGCCTCCCAGCTTCCGGGCAAACAGGTCCCCTGGTTGTGGGACACTGAGAAGATGGCAGATGTCCTCTTTTTCTGAATGTGTTCCACAGAGAGCTAGTTCCTAGAGGCATTTTAGGGGCTATCTAGAGGTGATGGTTTTGGGGTTGGGGCAAGGTGACTCTTGGTCATCTCTTTTTAATCATTGCAGCTCTGCTTTTATCTGTTTCATATACACAACTGGGATTGCTTGTCACTACATCCAAGGATAGAGTGCTGCCAGGCCCGGGCACTCAGCAATCAGGCCTCGGTGAGGGGCACCGCCAGAGGCCTGTTACATTTCCACACCTCACCAGGGACCTGATGAAAATGAGCCCCCTTTGACATCTGCTAATCAGATTTGCTCCTGGGAGCCAGTAATAATTAAACCTTCTCTATGAAGGAAACACTGGCAAAGCCTCACATCCTCACAGCTGCTCAGCCAGTGGAGCAGATGGGCCATACCCACAGCTGGGTCTGCCTATACCTAATTACTAAGCTGAAACAATGAGCCCTAAGTGGCAATGGTCACCCTCAGAGATAGCTGTCAGACAGCCCTCGGGAAATGTCACTGAGCAGGTGGGAAGGCGACGACTTCTCCATCAGCTCCGCTGACCTTCCTGACAGCGTTAGCACCACGCACGCCAGTCACTCACGCTGTGGCTAGGTGCTATTCACAGGTACCATTAACCACATGTCAAACACATTATGTTCTTGAATATCAACTATTCACTTGACTCAGGTTTTTGGGGAAAAAAAATCACCACCCAGAAATTTAGCTGTAAGCTAGAAAAACCTTGTAGGTAGTATCTGATTAGATAAACAACCATATTTTTTCTGTCTTGATTCAAGTTTTTGTTGGATGTTACTGCTTATGTTAGTATATCGATTAACTATCATTGTGTAACAAAGCTCAAAATTTAATGGCATAAAGCAGCAGCGATTTATTTCCCACAATCCCATGGGTCGGCAGGGCTGCTCCTCCGCTGGCTTCCCCTGGGCTCACCCGGGCGCCGCTCTCAGTTACGTCAGTTGGGCCAAGAGGCCCGTGAAGGCTGCATTCACACATCTGCCAGTTAACACTGCCAGCCAGCGGGGCCCACGGCGATCCTCCTTGGGCCCCTCACTCTCTTATAGGCTGGAGTGGCTTCCTTACCTGGAGGTGTCAGGGCAGAGTTCCAGCAGGGCAAAAGCAGAAGCTGCCAGACCTCTTGAGCTCTAGGCTCTGGAATCACACTCCTGGTGTATCTATCACTCCAAGCAAGTCAGAAGGCCAGCCCAGGTTCACCGGGTAGAGAAACACAACTCCACTTCTGGTTGGGAAGACCCAAAAGGTCTGGTGAGCACTTTAAATCTACCGCATGTCAGCATCTTCCCCTTGTGTCAGAGTGACATGAATTCTGGGAGATGGTCACAAGAACTCTTAGATCAAAGGGGTGCCAGGACAAATGTCGAGTCCTACATAAAAAGGCTTTGAAAAGCCACTGTACACATTAACATGTTAAAGTCTCTGAGAAGTCCCTCAATAAACATAAATCCTGTTTAGCCTTGTTTACTGATGAACAAATAAGTTTATAGAAGCTAAGGAAGACTACTTTCCTATAACACCATTTTGGAAAGCTTGGTCATGAATCCTGAATGTTTGGAACAGTTCTAGTTAGCATACTTTGTCTTAATGTCTCAGGAAATGTCCCAGAAATGTCACATACGTTTCTATACCTGGTCATTACGCAGAAGTGGCACACCCCACTGCGAGTTCTCAGTTCGGATTGTAAAACAAAAGGTCACCACAATTATCTCTTAGGTTATCAGCAGTGAAAAAACTTCCACTCAAAATCATTTTGATTAGGCTAGAAAACTTTCCTAAAAATTCTATGCACAGAGGTTTGGGTCTTTTTCTTCAATATACTTTTGGGCATTGACATTAGTGGATTCCTACAGAATGAACATTTAGATTCACTCCGACTTTGCTTCACAAGTTTAAAATGCAGTGAGAATAGGATAACCAATCGCAGAGCAGGAGGCTAAAGGCAGCTCTTTCGCCTCCCCAAGGGGCTGACAAACCTCTAAAGAATCACTCTGCTTCTTACCCACCGTAGGCTAGCAGTCTATCCTCCCATTCAATTTTCTGCTCAGTCCGAAAGAAAGAATTCATCCATCCTCAAAACCAGGTTCTCCAGTGGTGGCTTTTGATAGCTATGATGTGAAAAAGGTTGCTCTAATGCTCTGATCATGAGACCAGGATGGTCCCGATGTGGATGAAGGTTCAAGTGGGCTGGGGAATGTCAAATCATTGTTTAGGGTTGTTATGACAAGAATATTCACAGGACCAGGAACAGCAAGAGCAGCCTCCTCCAAAGCAAGGACCACACCCCATCACAGTCGTGCACATGGAGAGAGGGCCAATGCACAGAACAGGCTCGCTGCAGTACTGGATGGGAAATACAGAACTGAAAATACGCCCTATTTATTTTCTCTTGTATCAGGAAGAATGA